GCCACAATGCCTGGCTATTTGTTGTTGTTGTCCTTGCTGTTTAGCAGGCCCAGCTGGTTTGAACCCTTGAACCCATCAGTGGGAGCCTAAACATGCTATTTTATTATCGATTGAATTTCTTTGCTCATGAAAATGTTGCATAGATATTGATATATCAGTGGTGGATGAATGGAAGAAGTAACATCTAAACTCAGACCCAAAGGGTCTTCAAATTCTTCAGCATAGCATCCAAGATTCTTCAGGATGTGGCCACTACTGATATTTCTGACATTATTTTAGCCACTCTGCCCCTGTGATCCCTGTGTTCTGGTACATACCCAAGTGCTTCCTGTCCTTTGATTTTGTGCTTTTGTTAATGTCAAGAATATTGATTGAGTACTTGCTAAATAGCAGGATCTTTAACAGGTACAGTGGATAAAGGACCAAGGCATGGTTATTTTTTTCAATATTTATAGTGGTTTTTTTGACAGGGGAAAGAAAAAGTGTTTCTTGGTAGGTTTTAACTATTGTAAAACTACATAATTAGTGCTGAATCAATGAGTTGAACAATTCTCTGTTGAAGCCCCGAATAAGGGGTGATTAGTGCTCTCTCTGAGAGGCAAGAAAGGAGAGAAAAGAATCCAAGAATTTACCAAAAAGAAATTTTGTAGCCTTTTAACCTGATTCTGTAATCCTGTGAACTGTAATTCTAAGGGGATCCTGGGGACTGGTGCCAGCTGGAGAACTAAATGTTACTAGTGTATGACCGGATAATTTCAATAATTGAGTGTAAATGTTTAAAAATGTGTATGATTTATTAATCTAATATGATAAGTATTGGGCTTTTGTTTATATGGCTTAATTTCCTGTTTCTAGTAATTTCTTTTTACTATATCCTATCAAAATATCAGTCTCTGACAGATTGAAAGTAACAGTGATAATGATAATAAACTGCTCATAGATAGTTTGAAAAGCACTATCCATGAGATAAATCATGGTTTTTGGTTTTGATTACTTATTTATTTATTTTGTAGTTTTGGGCCAGGGCTGGGTTTGAACCCACCACCTCCAGTATATGGGGCCAGCTCCCTACTCCTTGAGCCACAGGTGCTGCCCGGTTTTTATTTTTTAAGGTTCAGAGTTTCCCCAGTACCTAAAGTGGCAATTTTATACAGTCAGTTTCTCTGCAAAGGCTTTACAGGGTTTACCAGACAAAATCCCAGCAGGAAGTGAACTGCACACTCAAATCAAGTAACTTGAGAAGGATTTAATAAAGGGAAAGTTTACAAAGGTGTAGGTAGATTGTGGTAATCAACAAAGGATATTGCAATATATCAGAGCTAGTAATAACCAGGTAATTTACTGCCCCTGGGACTGAAAGGCTAAGGGAGACAGTAGTTACCAGAACCTAGAGAGTTATGTATGAGATGAGGGCTGCTTGACCCTCAAGGGGCCATGACTCTTGATCAAAGGATATGGAACATTACCCAGGCCAAAACAACCTCCAGGGAAAAATCAGAGGGAGCATATATTCTGACTTCACTCTTATCTTACCTGGATCTCTTACTGGCTTTCCCCATTGGTTGAACCCAGCTGGAAGCTAGCAGAGGAGAGAATCCACTAATATGTATATATGGAGTGGCAAGTTAGAGGGTCGCTGTCCACCTGCTTCAGTCTACCTGCAATCTGAGTTTGTAACTTAGTATATCATGAGCATTTCCAGAGCAGAGGATGTACCTTCTATGTCACAGGTGTGTCATCAATATTTGCAAAAAGGGGGCTTCAGGGAATAGTATAATAGCTGGAGAGAGATTTTTGGAAACTAAGAGTTTTAGGCAACTGCAGGTTTTTCAGCCACAGGCCCCAGCCATACAGGAACAAGTATGTGAAAGTAGAAACAGAGTAACATCCCTATCATCCTACGATTGCTTTACAAATCAGCAATTCTTTCTTTCTTTTTTTTTTTTTGAGACAGAGTCTCACTTTGTTGCCCTCAGTAGAGTGCCATGGTATACAGCTCATAGTAACCTCAAACTCTTGCACTTAAGCGATTCTCTTGCCTCAGCCTCTGAAGGAGCTGGGACTACAGGCACCCACCACAACGCCCAGCTGTTGTTGTTGTTGTTGTTGTTGTTGCTGTTGTTTTAGCTGGCTGGTGCTGGGTTCGAACCTGCAACCCTCAGTATATGGGGCCAGTCACCCTACCCACTGAGCTACAGGCACTGCCCCTACAAATCAGCAATTCTGAAGGCTCTTTTTCAGAGGTGAGGTCAATCCATTCACAGTCTTGCAGGACTGGCAAATTGAAACCAACAGACTCTTAGCAAAGATTATAGGGGAAGGAATTTTCATTGGCAGCAGGCCATCAGCCTTAAAGTAATGAGCCCTCCAATCAGCTCTGTCCCTTTCATTTTACTCACAAGTAAAATTTGATAGACCAAACATACTAGGGTGGGTTTGTTTGTTTTTGTTTCTTTGAGACAGAGTCTCACTATCTCGCCCACAATAAGGAATTACTATGTTATTTTTCACTGGAGGTGTCAAATCATGTACAGAGTTTACAGAAGCTGAAGCAAGCAGCAAGCATTAGTTTCAAGGACCTAGGAAGTTAAGTTTTACAAATTCTTAAGGGATGGGTTACCATAGGGAGGACCTTGCAGGAGTGTTTGGGCTTCTCTGAGAAACCTTTGTTTTCTTAGACTTTACTTTTCCTGGGTATCCCCCCTCAACAGGTCTGAGAGAAGGAAAAGAATATGCAGGTTTAAACCCAAAAGCTTTAGGAGAATGACAGGAATTACACAAGGCTGTGGGATGGGGGACCAGGGTGAGGGGTTGTAAGTTTAATCTGTTGAGAATGAGAGAAGATATCTTAGGAGAGAAGAAGGAGTGAGAAAATATACAGATAAGAAGGAACCAATATTCACTGTCAACTTGTTGAATCCATGAGCTTAAGGATTCTTTCTTCTTTGTTTATAGTTCTGCTTTCACAGAATCCCGCCCTTTCCAAGAGGAAGTATGATTAAGTTCCAGTAAGTTAAAGTTTCCTTTCTCTTTAAATATGGCCTTCATTCTGGGGAACCAGACACCTCTACTTTATGAAAGGAGGTCAGATTTTTGAGTGACTACTATGTATTACTTTCTTTTGTTTGTAACAACTGTGCGGAAGTAGGTGGTGTGACTCCCTTCATAGAAATGGAAAACGGACACAGAGATGTCAGGATGTCTAGTTTGGTGTTACTCCAGGTGTGATTCACTTACCAGTGCCAATCTATGAACTGATTATCACTGTTCTATGAGTGATAAGCACAGAATCAAGAGTAAAAGCTCAGAAACTTTTAAGGTAATGTGGTATAATCACAGCATCAGAACACATGGCCATGGCTGAGTACTACTGATCTGGTTCATATTAGTAAGATTTGAATGGGTATGTATTGGTCAGAGTACAACCAACAAGGGAGAAGCAGTAGGAGATATATGTTAAGAGATTTATTGTACAA